CAGGGACCACTTTCTCTCACTTGACCCCACAGTCCTCACTGTTGACCTACTCGAGCAGCACCTCCTTGCAGCTGAGACTAGTGTAGTCGCTGTAGGTGCTGCTCGTGGCACTCCGCGCACGCCCTTCTTTGAGGGGTGCTCTCCCTCCCCCCTTGCCCCCTCCTACGCCTCTACTTCTGTTGTTGACGTCCTTGGTGCTGAGGATGTCGGGGCTGCTTCTACTTGTGCAAAGCAACGCAGCAGCAAGGGCAGGGGTGGCCGGGGTGGTGGCAGTGGCAGCGGGGGTGGTGGTGGGGGCATCAATGGAGGTGGTGGTGGCAGTGGAGGTGGTGGCGGTAGTGGGAGTGGTGGTGGGAGTGGGGGCTTTGGTGGAGGCGGTGGTGGCAGCGGTGGGGGTGGCGGTAGTGGCGGCAGTGGGAGTGGTGGCGATCGGGGTGGAGCTACTCAGCGTGGAGGTTCTGGCGGTGGCCAGAGGCAGGACCGGCAGCGTCGAAGCGAGACCCCGTCGCCCCAGCAGCTTCGTTAGTGGTTTGCTCAGCGTGGGGCGTCTGGGGGTAGTGGTAGCTGCCCGTATGTCATTCGCACGGGTGACCGTGCTGATCAGACACGCGGGAAGCCTCACATTCAGCACCGCTGCTTCTCCCGGATCGACGACGCTTGGCGCGCAGAGTTTGGTGATGAGGCCAAGCGCCCCCGCTGGGCAGAGCTGCTTAGGTCTGGAGTTGCTATCTTTGACCTAGACTATGATGCTATCCTTGCTGCTATGTATGCATTGTCTATTAGTGCTGAGGGTGACAGTTACCTGTGTGTGCCGCGTGACCCAGGTATAGAGGCTGCTGAGGCCCTGCACACCATTACGCGCGACTCAGGTGCTTCACGCTGTTTCTTTCGCGACAGCACCACCCTCACTCCTCTCTATGCACCTGTACCGGTCAGGCTGGCTGACCCCTCGGGGAGCCCGGTCGTTGCCCGCTCCTCCACTGTTCTCCCGTGTCCGGCGGATCCGTCCGGCTCACACTCAATTCTTCACCTCCCCTCGTTCTCTACGAACTTGGTGAGTACAGCTGCCCTCCAGGATGCGATGGTCACTACCACCTCTCTTGGGGGCCAGCATGTGTCGATCTGCACGTGTACACACTGGCTACCGAGCCTCCTCAGGTAGCTGCATCTACCCAGGTGTCCGCGTCAGGTCAGGTAGTACCCCCTTGCTCGTCGCCTCCTGTCGCACCAGACTTTCCTGTGGCACCACCGCCTGGGTCACCCCTCCCTTCCACACCTTCGTGGCATGCACTCCCGCCTCCTTGTCTCTGGTCTTCCCAGGTCTCTGCCTCCCCTCCCGTGCTCGCCTGCCCCGCACTGCCAACCTTGTGTCGAGGGGCGGCAGCGCTCACTCCCGCTCCTCACTCCTCCTCGTTTCCCTCGACGGCTGCTCCCTTGCAGACTCTCCACATGGACGTGTGGGGCCCAGCCCGCGTCAGTGGACAGGGCCGCGAGCGCTACTTTCTGCTGGTTGTTGACGACTATACGCGTTACACCATGGTCTTCCCTTGCACAGCAAGGGTGAGGTCCCTAATGTCTTGATCCCTTGGATCCGCGCAGTCCGTCTCCAGCTCCGCGAGCGGTTCCACCGGGACCTTCCTGTCCTATGTCTGCACTCTGACAGAGGTGGTGATTTCTCCTCCGACCTCTTGCGGGACTTTTGTCGTGGGGAGGGCATTATCCAGTCGTTCACGCTTGCGGCCTCCCCTCAGCAAAATGGGATTGCTGAGCGCCGCATTGGCTTAGTCATGGAGGTCGCTCGTAATTCCATGATCCATGTGGCTGCTCCCCATTTTCTGTGGCCGTTTGCGGTCCGGTAGGCTGCGCATCAGCTCAACCTCTGGCCCCGTGTCTCCTTGCCGGAGACCTCGCCCACACTGTGTTGGATGGGGAAGGTTGGCGATGCGTCGGTGTTCCGGGTCTGGGGCTCTCGTACCTTTGTTCGCGATACGTCCTCGGACAAGCTCTCCGCCCGCGCTATTCCCTGCGTCTTCCTTGGCTTTCCCCTTGACGCGCCTAGCTAGCAGTTTTACCACCCCACCTCGCGCCGTGTCTTCCCCTCTCAAGACGTCACGTTTGACGAGTCGGTTCCCTTTTACCGTCTCTTCCCCTACCGCTCTTCCCCTACCCTGCCCCCGCCGCTTTTCCTTGCTCCCGATCCCCCTCCGGTAGACCCCCTCCCGCCCCAGGGTCCTGCTCCCTCTGGTGTGTCTCAGGTAGACCCTCTCCTTGGTAGTGTGCCTGTTGAGGTAGCTGGCGACTCAGGTGCTGCTCGTGGTGCTGCATCTGGGGGTGCTGCGTCTGGGGGTGTGGAGCCTGGGGGTGCGGAGCTTGGGGGCACTGAGTCTGAGGGTGCCGAGTCTAAGGGGGCTGAGCCTGGGGGTGCTGAGCCTGGGGGTGTGGAGTCAGGGGGTGCTGAGCCTGAGGGTGTTGCGCCTGGGGGTACTGAGTCTGAGGGTGCGGAGTCTAAGGGGTGCTGAGCCGAGGGGTACTGCTTCTTTTGGAGGTCCTGCGGGTGCTTCGCCTCGACTGTCTCCCTGGCCGGAGCCTCTCTCCCCACAGCAGCTGCGCAAGTGGTTTGCTCAACGCACACGCCGTCGGAGTGGAGCTGCAGGAGCTGGAGACTCTGCCGCTGGTGACATTGGATTTGGGGGTGTTGGAGTTACTGCTGGAGCTGGTGGTACCGGAGGTACTGCGGCGGCTGGTCCTGGAGGTGCTCGTACCAGGAGTACTGGAGCTGCCGGGACTGGTAGTGTTGGGGGCACTGGAGATGGAGGAGATGGAGCAAGAGACCCTCCGGAGCTTGGAGGTGCTGGGGTTGGAGGCACTGGAGCTGGAGGTACTGGCGATGGTGGCGCTGGAGCTGGAGGAGCTGGAGCTGGAGGCACTGGCACTGGTGGCGCTGGAGTTGGAGCTGGAGACACTGGAGCTGTTGACCCTGGAGCTGGAGGTGATGGAGCTGGGGGTGTTGTGTCTGGCGGTACTGGTGCTGGGGGCACTTTGCGGCTGCGACCGTACTTCGTTCCCCTGCTTCAGCAAGTTCTTGGTCTCCCGTCTTCTACTGGCCTTACTCCTCCCTTACTATGTCCACCGCCTGACCAATCACAGCCGCCGTTACCGCCAGCCTACCCACTGCCTGCCCATTCTCCTTACACTGAGCAGACTGGAGGTCTTACAGAGCGTCGTGAGCCTGCGTCTCGTCCTGTCTCGCCTGTTCGCACTGCTCGTCGCGTTCCTCGTCCGCGTGCTCCTCTTGTCCTCGGCACCCACACTATGACACTTCGTCCTTCCTCTGTTCCACTACGAGTTCCTTTGCCGCCTCCTCCTGCGTCCTCTCTTCCTTCCATCCCTGACCCTGCGTGTGACCTCGCCCGTGCTGCCAGTCCCACTGTCTCTCGTCTCCTCGCCACTGTTGTCACTGACCCTGCCTTTGAGTCCACTGTTGCGTCTGCCCTTGTTGCTGTGCTGCTACCTGTCATCTAGACTACACCACTGCTCTTGTTGCTGTGTCTGAGTCTGCCAGTCCTCCGTCCGTCAGGGGTGAGTGTGCTCTTGGCTCGGACGTCCTTGAGGACAGGCAGGAGGACTTTGAGTGTCTTGCAGCTGCCGTACCTCGTTTCGCTTCCATGCTGCTTGCCCCTAAGGGAGACCCGGATGCTCCAGACATCCCGACCCCGCGCTCTTACGCAGAGGCGATTACGGGTTCTTACTCCTCTCAGTGGAAGACAGCCATGGATGCCGAGATGGCATCCTGGAAGTCCACAGGCACCTACGTCGACGCAGTTCCCCCGTCTGGGGCGAACATAGTCGATGGCATGTGGATTTTCAGGGTGAAGCGGCCGCCGGGTTCTCCGCCTGCCTTCAAGGCGCGTTACGTTGCTAGAGGCTTCAAACAGCGACAGGGAGTTGACTACTTCCAGACCTTCTCCCCCACCCTGAAGATGACTACTCTTCGGGTGTTGCTTCACATTGGTGCTCAGTGTGACTACGAGTTGCACTCGCTGGACTTCAGTACAGCTTTCTTGCAGGACAGCTTGCACGAGGAGATCTGGCTACGCCGCCCACCTGGCTTCACTGGGACGATTCCTGCAGGTACCCAGTGGAGCCTCCGGCGACCAGTCTACGGTCTCCGCCAGGCGCCTCGCGAGTGGCGCGACACACTGAGGACTATACTTGCAGCTCAAGGGAGCACTAGTGGTGACGAGGTGGTGGCAGCAGTACCGTCGTGGCTGCACCACCAGTGGCAGCCGCAAGACAGGTGGCACCGGCAGCAGCGGTGGCGGCCGCAGCAGGGGTGGCGGCAGCAGCAGAATGGACAAGGCAGCAATTCTCGAGGAGCACAACAAGGCGCGGCGGGCAGTGGGAGTGCCGGCCCTCTCATGGGACCACAGTGTAGCAGCAGCAGCGAAGTAGTGGGCCGATGAGCTCGCCTCCAAGGGATGCAAAATGAAGCACGGAGGGGCAAAGGGGCTTGGCCAGAACCTGTACTGGAATCGCCCCGCGAAGCTGAACAGTGACGACGACCGGGCGGCGGTGCGGTCGTGGGTGGCGGAGAAGAAAGTCTGGAGGTACATAGCCGTGCCCAAGGGGTGTGCGGGCGGCAAGATGTGTGGGCACTACACGCAGGTGGTGTGGAAGGGTACCCAGCGTGTTGGCTGCGTTGCTGCCATGTGTGCGGATGGGGGGGGCATGTGGGTTTGCGACTACTCGCCGCAGGGCAACACGGTGGGGTCGACTCCGTATTAGCTACCGTAGCACCCGTATGCAGGGGAAAGGTGCTGATAGATCTTGTTAGTATGCAGGGTATAGTGTGCGAGTGGGCTGTGCTTGTGTGGGGGTATGCTGCATGCATGAGGAACCAAGAAAAAATAAGTGAGGTGTCTAAAATATTTATGTACGGTGTGTTATTTACAGAATGATATGGTTTCATACTGGTAACATTGAGAACGAAGTGGTTAAAATCACAGGAGCTGGTGAATAGGGGGGAGTCAGGAGAAGGGGAGAAACAAAGCGAGATACTTCACTGCCCTAAGGAATCCATTAACATAACCGAGTTGGCAGATGAACCTTGCTAGGTTGGTGATACATGACTGCCTCAACAGCAGTACATACATTGAAATAAGCTGGTAACAGACATTCCTAGCAGTTCCGTCTCTTCAGTGAGGAAATTAAAACTTGTACGGTAATCTATTTGTATTAATATTGTTATCACCTGAAAGGTCCTGTTACAACAACCCTCTCCCCCCTTTGTCGGGGAGCTGGGCCTCCTCCCATTCTCCCCCATCACCCCCCCGTACTCCACACCCTCCTTCTCCTCCTCCCTTGATCCCATCCCCACTCCTGCTCCCTCTTCCCCTTTCTGCACCGGCAGCAGCGGCAACCCCTCCTTCCCTCCCTTGCCCTCCTTCCCGCCCTTCTCCCCCTTCTCTTTCTCCACAGCCCAGCTATACAGCAGCATGCCCACAATAGCCATGAGCATGCCGCTAAAGTTCTTGAGAGTGAAGGGGTCCTTGAAGACGGTCCACCCCAGGATGAGCACCACCACCGTCTTCATGTGCCCCAGCACATGGAAGGAAGTTGCTAAGAACTTTCCGAAGCACAGGTAGACAGAGAGGTTGCAGCCGGTGGCAAAGGCGCATGAGAGGGCGATGAAGAACTGGAGGGGTGGGGATGGGTGGGGAGGGGTGGGGGAGGGCTGTAACTCCAGAGCGGTGTCGCGGGTGTCATCGAGGTAGGCGAGGCAGCAATCGACCTCGCGCTAGTGATGGTCGCTCCTCACTGTGAGACCACTCTCCAGCTTGCTGCAAGCAAACGTGATGTCCGGCCTCGTTGTCGTCACTGCGAACTGCAGCGAGCCGGCCTTCTGCCGGTACTCCTCCTCCTCGCGCTCCTGGGCCTCCTCGTCGTCGAACGTCAGCTCTGCGTAGGCGTCGACGGAGACCCACGTCTTTTGGGTCCGACTTCCCTGCTTCTCGTCGATGAGGCGCCTGTGCAGCTTGTTGCCGTAGCCCTGCTGGTGCAGCCACATCTTCCTTGATGGCCGGTCGCGCACGATCTCCAGCCCGAGGTACTTGACGACCGGCGAGATCTCACGCAGCTCGAAGGCGGCCTCCAGCAACTCCTTTAGCTCCTTCAGCATCGCGGTGCTGCTGCTGGCGGCGAGCAGGTTGTCGACATAGACCAGCACCCAGCAGGTCACTCCATCGCCGCCGACCTTGAAGTAGAGCGCCATATCGACCTGGCTCTTCTTCCAGCCAGCGCCCCAGCAGCACGTCGTCGAGAGCCCTGTACCATAGCAGCGGTGACTGCTTCAGCCCGTAGATGCTCTTCAACAGCTTGCACACCCGGCCGGTCCCGTCGTCGAAGTAGTCTGGCTGGTACATGTACAGCACCCGGTCAAGCCTACCCTCCACAAGGGCCTACACCAAGAGAAATGCTACACTACACAAAGTAATGTAACTATTCTCACTATCTTGAAGTTTACCCTTTTGGAGAGCTTCGAAATCACTTGAATCTTGAAACCAAGGCTCTGGTTCTTCAAGATAAACTCTTCCTTGAGTTCTTGGAAGTCTGCTGCGCACACCTGCGACACGCCGAACGTTCCACACACGACAAAATAGAAAAACCGCACACGACACGCAAACAACGACGTGACATGCGACTAGCGATGACTCGCTATTGACTCAACACACACATTCAAAAAAACATCATGCCTCATCATTCACACACTATTGTCAGCATGAAATATATATTATCTCATGCTCTCATACCATTCCATGCACACACGCATGCACGCACACAGACAACAAGCCGAATGCAAACCGTAGGGTTGCACCAACAAACTCCCCCTCGGATTGTTGGCCTTAGGATCTGGTTCTCTCAGTTCAGAGCCATTCCAGCCAGCTTGCAACACTTCCAATGCTGCTGATCCACCTGCCTCTTGGTCATCATGTCAGCTGGCTGCCTTGTCGTCTTCACGTAGTGCAACTCAACTTCACCCGCGGCCACCATGCTCCTTGTCCAATGCCATTTCACCCTCATGTGCTTCGTGAGGCCATGCAACACAGGGTTCTTAGCAAGATCAATGGCACCTTGGCTGTCACAGTAGAGTGGGGTAGGTCCTTGCTGCTCATCCCCCAATTCAGCCAACAACTCCACTGCCACACAATCTCCCGTACGGCACGGAAGAGTGCCATGTACTCGGACTCCATCAAGCTCAATGCTTGATCCACCTGCTTCTTGCTCTCCCAAGCAGTTGGGCCTCCACCAACACAGAAAATGAACCCTCCAACACTTGTCATGTCCTCTGGTTCCAATGCATAAGAAGCATCCGAGAATGCGGTGAGGAACAAACGCCCAGGTTCAACACCATCCGCGCCCTTTTGGCGCCTTTGCGCCGCCGCCGAGTATTGCAGCCCAACAGTCAGTGTTTGGCCAAGATACTTGGCCACCCTCATTCCAGCTGCTACTTGCTCCTCATTAGGGCATTGAACAACCCTAGCCAGCTGCCCGGTAGGAAAGACGATGTCCGGTCGGGTGTTTACCGCCGCTTACATGAGGCTGCCCACCAACGAGTGAAAACGGCGCCTCTCCTCTTCTCCAACACTCTCCTCCTCAGATCCCTTCACACACTTGAACCCAGAAGGGAATGGAGTAGCCACATGGCCTTCAATCTGCCCAAATTTGGCATCCAAGGCCCCCATGTACTTCCGTTGATGCACCCACATGCACCTCTTCTCCACATCTCGTTCGATGTGGAGCCCGAGGTAGAAGCTCACGTCACCAAGGGCCTTGCACTTGAACTTGTCTTGAAGCTTCAGCATCACCTCCTTCACAAGGTCAGAGGAGGGTGAGAAAATGAGGATGTCATCCACATAAACCACCATGAAACTCCTTTGCTCCCCCTCGCCAAGCATGAACAAGGAATGATCGGCGGATGAGGGAGTGAAGCCGATCTCCTCCAAGACTTCACGCAACTTCAAGTACCACTACCTAGGGGCCTGCTTCAGTCCATAAAGACCCTTCTTCAGCTTCAAAACTCTGCCACTACCATCATCAAACCCCTCTGGCTGCGCCATGAAAATCTCTCCTTCGAGAATGCCGTTGAGGAATGCTGTTGTCACGTCCATTTGTTTCACCACCCATCCTTTGATGGTAGCTCCCGCGAGTAGGGTTCGCAGCGTCGTCGGCTTCACCACAGGAGCAAACAACTCCTTGTAGTCCACCTTCTCCTTCTGCTGGTACCCCTTCGCCACAAGCCTAGACTTGTTGCGCTCGATTTTGCCGCCGGCGTCAGACATGATCTTGAAGAGCCACTTGGACGTAATCGCCTTACGCCCCTCCGGTAGCTCCACCAATTCCCACGTGCCATTCTCCTCAATGCTTTTCAGATCACTCTCCATTGCCTTCTTCCACTCCTCAGCATCACTACTCTCCAAGGCCTCTTTGAGAGTTGCTGGTTCCCCCGGCATCTCCACCGGAGAGAAGAACGCGAAGGCACACTCCTCGTAGTCACTCTCCTCGTCATCTCCAACTATAAGTGCCGCTTTCCCAATGCATCATAGGTCAGCCTATTAGGGGCTTGAATTCTCCTCTTGCCCCTTCCTTCCTCCTCACCTGCAGGGACATGAAGGCCTTGGCATTGCTGCGGGGTTACTCGGATCCGTAGAGCACTCGTAGTGCGAGAAGGAAGTGTCGGTGCACGCTCGCTCACTTGCTGCACCTCCTCCTCTTCTTCCTCTCCATCCTTGGCTTCCTCTCCCCCATTCACAAAAGAAGATTGCCTTGTGGTGGTGCTGCCGCTGCTCAGCTCCAAAGGCAGCTCCACATGCTCCAAACCGTAACTCTTCACCTCCCCAAACCGCATGCCTATCTTCGCCTCATTCTCCGCCTTCCAATGCTTATACATCAGGTTCTCCATGAATTTTCAGTCCCTGCTCACCAAGAATTTCTTAATGAATGGGTCCCAAAGAAGCCACCCCTTGCTGTTTTGAGCCATGCCCAAGTGCACAGCCCATATCGCCTTGGCACCGAGCTTGTTGTGCCGAAGATGCTTAGGCACGAGCACCATGCACATACACCCGAACACCCGAAGCATATCCACCTTTGGCTTCCTTCCAATCCACTCCACATAGGGCACCCATTTGTCTGCTCCCACATGACTCAAAGCTCTGTTCTTGGCCACACACGCACTCTGCACCGCATCAGGCCAGAAGTAGTCGGGTAGCCCGGCTTCAATGAGCAACCCGCGTGCCGTCTCCGTGATTGTGCAGTTCGCTCGCTCGGCGATGCCGTTCATTGCAGGGGAGTATGGCATGGTAAGGGAGTGCCTTATGCCATTCTTCTTCAGCCACAATCCAAACTCCTTGCTCAAGAACTCTCCCCCTCGATCGGTGCGGATTGACTTGACTAGCCAGTCTTGTTGCCGCTGCACCATCGGCAACCAATCGGTCTTCACCGTTTCAGCCCCGTCTCTCTTCTTGGATAGCACGTACACCCAGGTCATGCGGGTGTAGACGTCCACAATGGTGAGGACGTACTCTGCTCCAGCAGCTCCAAGCTTCAAGGGGCCCACCACATCCATCACCACCTCATCAAGTGGTGCCTTAGCCGTTGCTTCCGAACTAGAGAACGGGTAACGGGTGAACTTGGCTTGCATGCACGTCGGGCAGTCAAGTACCTCATCGGGCTCCCCTTTCACACGTACGACAGCAACCATCTCATTCTTCACAAGCTGCTGCAAGATGGGCAGGGCCACATGCCCCATTCGCCGATGCAAGGTGAGCCAATCACACTCCCCCGTAGCCGAAGTCGGATTGGAGAATGCCGCACTCGCAATAGTGCCCCACATGCTCTCTCCATACTCCTCCTCCGCTGCTGCCTTGGGGTTCTCCTCACCCTTGTGCTGCTCCTTGGCTGCTGCACCACTCTCCTCAAGCTCACAATGCTTGCTGGTCCTTCCAGGTTTGCACTTGTTGGACTCTTTCGCCTTGGCGCCATCGTTCGCGCCGTAGCCGCTATCAACCGCTTCACCCTTTGTGTTGACGCTTGCTGCCACTTGCCTCTCTTTAGGCATAGGGACCACAGGGATCTGCCACATCTCGTTGTAGACATCCCTATCCTCATGAAGGTCCCAAAGAACCCGCTCGCCAATCCTTGCGGTGTAGGTCTTGGCTTCTTCGAGCTCGTGTCCATGCCGGCCTTTTGCAACCGCCGCACGGAAATCAGGTTCGCAGCAAGGTTGGGCACCCAAAGCACGTTCTTAAGGCCCACCATCTTCCCATCAGCGCCCTTGAACATGTCCTTGCCCATGCCTTTCACCTCTGCTTGCTGCCCCAAAGCCGATGTGACATGCTTCACCGGTGACGGTTCAAGTTCGGTGAGCAAGTCCGCACGAGGTGTCATTCTATAGGTAGCGCTGCTATCGATCACCCAATAGTCCAATGAGTGTAGGGTCACCTTCCCCACAGCAGCAGGCTCCTCAAAGCTTTCATCCTTCTCTGGTGCAGCCGGTGCTTGTGTCGACACGAAGAAGAATTGACCCGGAAAGCGATCGTCTCTCGACTCGCTCTCATTGTCACCGTTCTTCATATTTGCAGCGCCACCTCCGCGACTGCCACGGCCTCTACAGCCTCTTCCTTTCCCTCCCCTTGCTCCTCTACCCTCTTGGCCTTGAGCAGGAGTCCATCCATCAGGGAGTTTTTAGCAATCGCCGTTGAACCGTCCGCGACCGCGTCCATAGTTCCTGTTGTCATTGCCATAGCTACCACTTCCGCGGCCTCCATTGCAGTCGTTGCTGCCAAATCTGCATCCCCCTCGTCCTCTGCCCCTTCCACGGCCATATCGTTGGCCGATGCTTGCTGCCCCGGCGCCATCCGCACTCGCCAACTCACGGCGACGGAAGTCCTTTTGAATGATTGCTCGCTTCACGTCTTCAAGCGAGAGGCGGGGCAAGTCACGATTGAGGTTGATGAGCGAGGACCATGACTCTGGGAGTAAGGCCAGCAACTTGGTCTTCTTTTGGAGCTCACTATAGTTCAAATCAGCTCCCTCGAGCCACGTCAACAAGTCGAAGAATTTCTGCACCCCTTCTTCAACCGCTTCGTCTTCTTCAATTCGTAGTGCCGCCATTTGCCGTTCCAACACCACCGCTACCGCCGCTTTTGCAGGAGCGTGCACACCCTTGACAGCAGCCCATGCATTTGGTCCCTTCTCTTGTTCACGCTGGAATGGCTTGATGTGACGGATTTGGATGCTCCCCAATGCTTGCCCAAGAAGGAGATAGCCTTGTGCGC